CGCGTGAGCGGGAACGCCGGAGCCGGGGCGAGCGGGGGCGCGGCGTCGGGGTCGGGCTTGGGAACGAGGCGGGGAGCGGGCGCCATCGCCGGTCGATCTCCGGTCGGAGGGGACAAGAGAGGGTTTTCTTGCCTCGCCGCTGGGAGGGGTTGGGTGGGGTGGGGAGGGGAGGGGAGGGAAGGCGCTGCTGCTTTTTACTCCGGGCCACGGTCGTGTGTACTGTATGACAGGTTTCCGCTTTGCGGTTACGCTTACGCGCTTGCAGACTCCCCGCGCTGCTTTCTGTTGCGGATTCGATGGATGGATGGGTCGTGTCGCGTAGCACTACGAGCCTCGATGACATGAGCGTGACTTGGTCCAGCCCGATTCGCCGTAGCACCACGAGCCTCGACGCAAAAAGAGCGCTGCTCAGAGTACTAGTAGTACGATTTGCAAATCATTAAGGGTGCGTTTGGTTACAAGGGTGATTATGAATGGGTTGGGATCATTCAAAAAATAGACATGTTTGGTTATAAAGCACATGAACGGTTCGAGTCAAAAAAGAGAATATGCCTTGAAGATGCTGAACCGTTCCACCCAACCAAATCGGTCGAATCAAATGGCCACGCTTTGCATGCATGACTATGTGAGCATGACTGATGGTCCCGTCCTAAATAATTAGCTCATCTCTTATATTCAGCCAAACGCATGAATTGAATGGTTCAATCCCAAATAAATTGGACGGTCCCAACTCATTCATATGACACCTTCAACCAAACGCATCCTAAGCGATCGTGTGCAGCATGCATGACCATTGAACGAATTGAGCAGTAAGACCAAGACCAGAATTCTTACTATCTAAGGAACGATAAAATGCGAACGTACATCCAAAATCATACTCCCTCCTTTCGGAAATACTTGTCATCAAAATAAATAAAAGAGGATATATCTAGATGTATTTTAATTTTAGATACATTATTTTTGTCCATTTTGATGACAAGTATTTTCGGACGGAAGGAGTACATAGAGAACGCACTATTCGAAGCCGCCGACTTTCAACTTGAGGGCTCCTTTGATTCAAAGAGTTTTCATAGAAACTTCGGAGGATTAGATTTTTTTTTGTTCTATGTTGGTTGTTTGATTCATAGGATTGAATCATATAGGAATGTTTTCTATGGATTGTATGATAGAATTTCTAGCATTCATTTAGAGCATCTCCAACAGGCGCCCAACGCGCGGCGCGCTAAAATTTGGTTTGCGGCATATGCCCATCGCCAGGTTTGGCGCGGCGCGCAGCGCTGGCTCAAGCAGTCGCGCTACAATGCAGCACGCGCAGCTCCAGCAGCGCGCGTGAGCAGTCGGCGCATCACATTTGTTGCATTTTGGACACAATAAATTTTACACATCCACAAAACAAAGACATGGCATATATAAAATCACAAACATCATTCAACCAAGTTTAAAATAAATAGTTTAATTTATTATTACAACTCAAACAAATAGTATCTTTCATGAAATATAACAAATAGTTCAACAATACAACATCAAACGCACAAATCATGATGCTCTTTGGCGGCCATTTCAAGCCCACCACTCCTCAATGAGATTCTTCTTGAGTTCATTATGCGCTGCCGGACGTCCAATGGCATGATAGAAGGCAATAAAACGGGCCACCCTTTCAGCCCTCCGTCGCACGCGCACGGGATGTCCCAAGAGCTCATAGTGAGAATAGCCTACATCTTGGCCATGCTCATTCTCAATGATCATGTTGTGCATGATCACACAAGCGTGCATTATGTACCAAAGCATCTTCTGATCCCAAAATTTAGCCGGTCCTCTCACAGTAGCAAATTGGGCTTGCAAAATCCCAAAATCTCTCTCCACATCTTTTCTAGCCGCCGCCTGAGCATTGTGGAAATCAAGATATTTCTTACCTTCTGGTTTTCTCAATGTCTTCACAAATGTTTGCCACTTTGGGTAGATGACATCCGCAAGATAGTAGCCATGGTTGTATGTACAGCCATTAGCTACAAACTGCACCGGTGGCAGTTCACCGTTTACAGTCTTACTCATCAGTGGTGACCGGTTGACAACGTTGATGTCATGCAAAGATCCAGGCATTCCAAAAAAAGCATGCCAAATCCAAGTCTCTTGATTGGCCACCGCTTTAAGGATTATAGTGGAACCCTTTTTTTGTCCGTGGAATTGATCATGCCATGCCTTTGGACAATTCTTCCAACTCCAATGCATGCAATCTATTGAACCAAGCATACCTGGAAACCCGAGAGCTTTGTTCATCTCCAATAGCCTTGCGACGTCTTCGACATTGGGAGTTCTCAAGTACTCCGGGCCAAACACTTGCACAATTCCGACTGCGGAGCGCTTGACACACATGATGGCTTGGCTCTCACCCATGGCCAAGTGATCATCAACTATATCAGCGGGGATACCGTATGAAAACATACGCAAAGCGGCTGTCACCTTCTGAAAGGTGCTATGCCCGAGCTTTCCGGCGGCATTCCTCCTCTACTGAAAAAACCGGTCATGGCTCGCTAGTTTCTCTGCAATGCGCCTGAACAACTCGGTGCTCATCCTAAACCGGCGACGAAAGTACGACTCGAGGTATGTGGGATTCTCCACAAAATAGTGCCTCATCAATCTGTTGTGGGCATCAATCCTATCCCTCCAAAAATTTTGCCAACCCATAACTGAACCACCGTGCTTCAGTTTTTTTATTGATGTGCATAGCTAGGATCATTGCAAGATCCTCCTCCTCTTCCATATCAAATTCTTTTTCGAAAGAATCATATGACGAACTCATCTAAAATGTTCAAAACTAGGCTATAAACAACATGCACCAAATTTCATGTAAAAATGTGAAGTTGGAAGCAATACATACCTTGCGGGCCTTTTGTCGAACACCTTGCGGGCGCCAAGCGGCAGTGGGCTGCCGGGCGCTGTTCGTCGGAGGACTACCGCGCGCAACGGGCGGCGCTGACTAGAGAGAGACGGAGGAAGCCGCGGTCACGCGGGGAGAGACCGGGGAAGCGCCGGAACGGTCGTCGGAAAAATAGGATGGCGCGGGCGGTGGTGGCAGCGCGGTTGGATGGGTAGGTGGAGTTGTGCGTGGGCGCTCGAGAGTCCAGCGCGCGGGAGTGGGCGCAGCAAATAAGCGACGCGCGATGGCGTTTCTGCCCGCGCGCTGAATTACATATGTCGCGCGCGCGGTTTTTGCGCGTCCGCTGGAGCGTCTGGAACGCTAGCGCACGCGCTAAAAGCACTGCTTTTTCAGCGCGGTGCGTATATAGCGCGGCTATTGAAGATGCTCTTAAACCTCTTTGAAAGATTTCTTTGTTTTTTCCTATAATGCAATCAAACTGCCCTAAATCATGTATGATTGAGATGACCGTGACATTTCAATCCTATGTTTTTTTTTTCATTTCATGTCCTTAGAATCCTACAATCAAAGAGGCCCTGGGTGTGCTCAAACGAACTAAATCAAGTTCTATGATATCCCGTATCAGAATATGTCGCATTTTCTATTTTTGGTGTGGCTTGCTATGACATGCAGATCTGTTTTTTCCTACCTGTCTGAAAGGGATGCAAAAGGGTGGCTCCGTATAAAGAGAGAATTAGGTGGCTGGGTATGAGAACGAGTTGGAGCAATGGATAGCAGGTGAGTCAAGGAGATTTTTTTTTGAAACTATGACATTTTTTATAGCAAATTCGAAAACTACATGACCTAGTGTGTTATTTGCAAAACTATGACCCCGTCGGCCTCTTTTAGGCCGAAGATCAACTTTTCGGTCAGCACTAGGCCGAAGTAGACTCTTCGGTCTCCTACTGGCCGAAGACAGGCGCAGCTGGGCCGGAGAGCTGTTTTCGGCTTTGCTCTGGCCGAAGACCACTCTTCGGTCATCTTTTGGCCGAAGAGCGCCTGGCCGGTGATCAATGCATGCGTAGCGTACATATGATGCTAGACTAATGCATCGAAGGGCTGATCGGTATTGCATGCGGTTCGTACGTGGCCAATGCATGCATCAGGACCGAGATAGCAATGCATGCATCAGAACTTGGTGCGTACGTACTAGCACACACGCAAGCCGCCAACATGCGCACATGTATTGGCCGAGA